CGTCCACTACAACTGCACATTCCTAGAAAGGCATGTGGGGCTCCAGTCAAAATTGTCCAATACTGATGGGTTGATGATAAAATTGTTGAAAGCAGAAAGCAGAACAATTGAGCTTCAATCCGACCCCCCCAAAAAAAAACAAATGAGCTCAACTCATAATTATATATGTGGGTTACACTAGTTGACAGGGGTAATAATCTTTTCTCTTTAAATTTAAGTTCAAATTACCCTTTTTATAGATTAAATTAATTTATAGTATATCGCTTTTATATAAATAAAAAAAGCTCATAATTTGACCGAAAAGAAAAACCTAAAAGCTCATAATGTGGTGGTGGCCACTGGGCACTATAATATGCAGTTGATTCATAATGTGGCATTGTGGTTAAACCTCAAGGCAATTGAGCTCCAACCTAAAAGCTCTTCATTGATGTTTGCCTTGGTCCACATTGGCAAATCACCCAAAAGATTCTAGTAATTAGCAAAATGTGTGTTCAAAGAATCAAACCACAGAATTTAAGTAGGCCCTCTGAGAATACAAATTAGAATCCATTCACATAATTCCTAAAGACCCTCATGATTTATTAGGCCATTGTCATCATGCCAATGGTACTACCACCTTCCATCATGAAAAATGAAGAATCATAGCAAAAGAAAAAAAGGGGACTAAAGAAAGAATCCTTTAAGTAACTCATGAGTGCCTCTAGCTATCCTACAATGCATCTAGCTATCCTACAATGCATCAACGACGGAAATCCCCCACAATGCATTAGTAGAGTCACTTAGATGCATCCTACAATGCATCAACGACGGAAATCCCCCACAATGCATTAGTAGAGTCACTTGTTCGTGCGTGACTGATTGTCCCAAACACTGCTCTTAAATAATACCAAAGTGTGACATAAACTACAAATTTATATATATAATAACATTGTGAGACATTGTATAAATAAAGAGTTAGAAATGAATTTTCTTTTTCTTTCTTGAATTACCTGCCATGTGGGCTGGATGCCGTTTTCTTATCAAAAATTTGCTAAACATTAAGCCTGGAGAATTTTTGTCATTTTTCATCTCAATGGCAATGGCACTCTGGTCTGTACACTTAACCTTTTCCCTGCTTTGAACAATAACACACATGTCGGCATGAAAAGGCACATAAACTTTCATCATCCACCCAAAAGCAAAACTGTCAGAACTCAAAAAAAAACACACACACACACAAAGTACTTTCACATTACCCTTTAATCATCACCCTCCCAGCCCTATACTATACCCCTACACTTTTATCAGTTCACTGTCAAAATTAAAAAAAGCACTAAGGGCAATTTCGTCACACAAAAAAAAAGCCCGACAAGTGAATTAAAATAAAAAAATTTGAACCTTGTCTTTTAGGTGTCTTATTGAACCCCACAAAGCGTTGAAAGTCCAGGGGGCCCATGAATATCTGAGTTGGGGCCCATTCGTACAGTGCGATGGGCTTCCAGGCCGAGCCGACCCTAATTTTGTGATTGAACAAGGTGCATAATCAAATTGAAAGCGAAATTATGAATATTCTTTTGAAGATGGAATGGAAGTAGGGTTTTGTGAATATGCCTTTGGCTTGCTTAAGCCTCAATCATGGAGGAACCAAAAGAAAAGAAAAGATTGTAACATCATTTTCGTCAAAAGTGCATGAAACTCCAAAAGGGTTTTTTGCTTTTCTTCTTTTTTTTTTCTTGGAGATGACAAAAGGTTTTGGTTGTTGGGACCAACAGAGCACATATATATAGTGAGAGAGAGAGAGTATGACCAAACATTATCCTTTTGGCTTTGTTTGACTGGTATTTATAATGTGATATGTATGTTCCTCCTGGCAGTGCCAAGCATAATCCTTTCATAGTTTGCTTTTTGGTGTGTTAAATGTACTCAATTTTTTGTCCCTTTGCGTTCAATCCAAACCATGAATTTAAGCAATTAATAACTCTAATTTTGCAGCTTTTTATGGCTGATTAAAGATATATACCTTTTATAATAAGGAAAGTATCTATCTAAAGTCACATATTTATCCGGTTTAAGAAGAAACATGATTACGTCTAAATTACCAACCAAAAGTAAACTCAAGTATGGAGCACATTACAAAGCATCATCAATTAAGGCATCATGTATGCTATCAGGAGCAACCTCATACTACACACACTCCTCAGTCCTCACTTTCAGTCGTGATAATAAAGCAAAACGTACTAAGCTACGAGCCACATAATTCGTGGGCTGACCAACAAAAGTAAACGAATGCCTATAATAATTTCGTCCTATTTATTGAAGTCTTGTCTCTGACAAATTGCTGGAATTCTAAAGATTCCTAAATTGTACGAGTATCCATTCAAATGCTACAAACTGAACTTAAGCATGTAATGCATGTTAATTAACTTTATGGTACAACCAAACTCCAATGATTCACATGTTTATCTCCTCTTTTTTGACATTGAAAATGAAGGTCCAGTTTAGATGAATAAGTGGGCTGCTGTTGATGCTAAAGAGATTGATTGATTGGGTTTTCTTTATTAATGGGCTCACTGTCTTCAGAACTTGGGCTGCTACTTTCTCTCTCTCTCTCTCTCTCTCCGCTATGACCTGAAAGTGGACAATCTTGGCTTGAAAACCACTTTTAAAACAGTTTTAATATGGAAGCCACTCTTTCAAGCACAAAAAAGAATCCTGTTTAAGCATTTTTGGGAAAGTTTTATTTATGGTTGACATTGTTGAAAGGAGTGGGGTTTACGAGTTGGATGGCTCTCGGAAGAAAGAAAGAGAGTAACTGGGAAAGGCCCAAACGGTATCAACCACAAACCCAGAAGAGGCCTTTTTGCTTAACATACTTCAACTTTTTCTTATATATATGAGCCAACTTATTAGATATGTCACAAATCTTAGGTCAAATTTGAAGAGAAAAATTGTAGGCATAATTGATTATCTTAATAACTGAAATCTAGCTCATGTGGGTTAGGCCAAGCGTCTAGAGCAGTAAGTCCCACATCGGAAACTTAACAAAATAGTAAGTCCCATGAAATGAACGGCTCAACTCCTAATAACATTTTCATTTAAATAAAATAAATAAATAAAAAAACCTCCTAATAACATCGAAGAGTTTTGTATAAAACCCCACATCCATTAAATAAATGATTAAATTAAGAACAATATCAATATTACTAATAATGAGCCAAGAGTCTGTCCTTATCAAATCTTAACAAATTCATCCATATCTATATTGAAAACATATGTGGGATATAACTTGGTATTGATCCAACAAGTGTCCATTGAGTTCTTTTACGTGTTAAAATATTATTGAACTGAACTTTTGATTAAGTAATGGTTTTGGAAAATATCACGTAATCCATTAACTCAGATGCTCTGCCAATCAGACAAAAAAACAAAGGTAGAGTTGACGATATTGAATACCTTTTCTGGTCAATTGGAGGGTGACACACCTTAATTAGTTTTAAAATTATTTTGTAGATAAATAACGATTGTTGCATGCCATTTGTTATGTGATCATTAGTGTGACGTCTCTTTCTTTTTCTCTTAATTAAGAGTAAAATGTTACCGATTTGATCATATTGAAAACCACGTCTCTATCAGATACAAGTCAAAGTCTATTTGTATAGATGAGTTTTCGCCTTCACTAGTAATATGATCCGTATGAGAAAATACTTTTGTTAAGGGTAAAACCTCTTAGGTTTAAATTTGTCATTGTTGAAAAGTACTTGCATTGCTTCACAGATGGGATGGCCAGTCATAGGAAATAGAAAATAATTGAATCCAAGATTGAGAAAGAAAACGAAAGGACGAGGAAGAAAAATGTGTCTTTAACACTTCTCCATGAGATGCATATGAACGTGGCCTTGAAACGGGCCATGTTCAAAGCTTGATAGGCGGACAGGGAGGGATCGCTTTCTTTGAATTCAAAATAAGCAAGTTCATGGAAGATGCAAGTATCATGGCATTACTAAAGCCCATATGTCAGACAATCGACAACATCCCATGGAAAAAAAATAAATTTATAGCCGGCATTGAGATTGGCACTTCTGTCTATTTGAATCCAAAAACGTTAATTTATATCATAACATCTTAAAAAATGAAATTGAAAACAGTAACTGTTCGTAGGGTTTTGCTTTTATTATATATATATATATATATATGGAATTTAATTAATATTATATTTAAAAGTACGAATCTGATGTCACCTTGTATTATAATTTGAGTGAATTAGTACGATGAATGAAAGCATGTCACGTAGCGTTACTAATATATATAAAAATTATTGGCAATTGCCAATGTCATGCCACAATGCAAAGGTTGATGTTTAGCATTACAATTTGTTCCCACTTGGGGAGTGATTGAGTAATTAACTCTTAATATAAGAAATTGTCAAGTGTAGTCATATTTTTAATTTTTCTTTCCAAATTTCTTATTTCAACCAACTCCTTTTGCTAATCTAATTTTTATAAAATATATTGCACTTGCATGGATAATTTGAATTAAAAACAAAAGGATAGTCAAGCCAAATAGAGGATCCAAATTGAAAATGCTAAAAAGAAATAGATAGAAAAGAAAAGAAAAAGAACTTATGGTGCTCGCTCACCAGTTACCATATGCGTCCGAAACTGCTAGGAAATGCAGCTTCCCGACAAAGTGTCTAGGTTCATCCTCTGCTTAAGCCCGTGATTAGATTAGTACCTAATCAACTCCCTATAAATTAAAGACCCAAGCATGAAATCTGTCATGCTTTCCAACTCAAATTGCACCATTTCTGAATTTGATAAGATTTCCTTTTGTCCCTACCTGTCAAATTACACTTTCATTCATTCATATTTTTAATTCACCAAAAAATATACCAAACTTTAATCACACGCACAAACACTCCATTATTACAAACTTATTAAACCTCTAAATTAAATCTCCTACTTTGAGGTTTGAAGCACAGCCAGAGCAAAACAAAAAAAACCAGGCCTTGGTTCACCTCTTCAATGGCGTCCATGGCCACCTACTTCGTCAAAACACCATCCCCTTCTCCCTCTTTCCCCAAAACGTTCAATACCCATTTCTCCCCGGCCCTTAGGCTATCAATCCCTCTCAGTTCCAAGCCCAGGACCCGCCGAAGGCTCCGAATTTCAAACGCGTTGATTGAGCCCGATGGCGGGAAGCTGGTCGAGCTCTTCGTCAAGGAGTCGAAGAAGGGCGAGAAGAAGAGGGAGGCGGCATCCTTGCCCAGAGTCAAACTTTCAAGGATCGACCTTCAATGGGTTCATGTGATCAGCGAAGGCTGGTCCAGCCCTCTCCGTGGGTTCATGAGAGAATCGGAGTTCCTCCAAACGCTTCATTTCAATTCACTCCGACTCGAAGACGGGTCGGTAGTGAATATGTCAGTGCCGATCGTTTTGGCCATCGACGATGCGCAGAAACGCCTGATCGGCGAGTCGACCAGGGTCGCGCTGGTCGACTCGGACAATAATCTGATCGCAATTTTGAAAGAGTAAGATGCCCTGCTTCTTATTTTCTCTCTAAAGCTTACGAATTTTTATATTTATTTTGTCGTCTAAGTAAATTGTTTCTTAAGTTTATAAATAGTCCATGTAAATTTAATTAACGCCAATCAACCAAAACTTTTTTCCCCAAAATTACTGTAAATGGTCCCACAATAATACTGATTGTGTCGCATATGAAAAAATGTAGGGAAAATAGTTGGGACATACTTCGAGTTATATGATTATGATGTGGATTTTAGTAGTTGTAGACTCTTGGCATGCTTCAAGCGTGTGCTCGTCTCTGAAAAAAAAGAAAAAAAAAGCATCTTTAACATTTTTATTAAATAAAAAATTGAAAAGAGAAAATTTTCCTCCTGGTAGTTAGAGAGGAGAGTGAAAATAGGAAATGACCAACTATTTATCAGTTTAGCCCCTTGACTATTTTCAAAGAACAGTTGTGAAATAATTGGAAGCTTTGTTTGGAAAACCCCCTTCCCAATTGATACAAAATATTTTATTTATTAATTTTATAAAGGAAACTTTCTTGTTTTATAAGATAACAAGTCTGAGATAATTATACCATACTGGGTGTTTATTAGTACAAATGTATTGGAACTAGTTTAAACACATCGTAATATTCGACGTCGACGTCATGTATATGATTTCTTGATGTTTGCTAGTAATGTTATAATGTAATTGTTTCTGTACTTATATGCATGTTGATATATATCCCTAAGTTGTACTTTAGCATTATTACTACCAAGACATTTGAATTCAATTTGTTATCTCTACTTTTCTTCCTATATAAGTTTGTCGTAACGGCTGATGCCTTATTATTTTGGGAAGATACTGACATGTTTTCATTGTGGTGTTTACTCAGTCTTGTTTGATAATATTGACTTTTCTTTTCATGTTATATCTAATTGTTTTTCTGGATAGATACTCATACTTTTCTTTTCCCTTAACAAATTTGTTAAAACGTTATACCTCCATATTTGGAATATTCCTCTGCCTTGTAATTGGATAACGATGTTTTATCAACGGGGTATTTTAGTCCTTTATGGTCATCTTCTAATATAAAGCAAACGTATCTCTTTATGCCACTTAACGTCTTGTCATTTTCTTAAGGGCAATATTCAATTTAATGGCCATGATGTTTGGTCATGGATGACTGCAATGAAGAAACTGACCTCATGATATTGATGTCTTCACGCATTTGCTGGTTTATCTGTCTGCCGCTATTTACCTAACCACTTAAATTTTATTTGATTCGGGTTGGAATTGTTACTACTAGGATTTTGCCCCTTGTATACAAAAGAATTTGCACTAGTTCGTGTATTATATTCTTTTTGAATACAAGTGATAGTCTAAACTACAAGGGGGAAAAAGGGGGGGTTTCTCATTCACACACACACTACAAGGTGCCATTGAGGTTTGAACCTGAGACCACTGGACTTTAAGTCAAGGCCCTTTCCACTGGGTTAGACCTCGTTGGCATGTTTCTTTGTATATCTTATCCTATGACTTTCCAATTGCCATGGTTACTAATGCCTTCTTGTTTTATTTGTTGCCTCATATCAGTATTGAGATCTATAAGCACCATAAAGAAGAACGAATTGCCAGGACATGGGGAACAACTGCCCCTGGTTTGCCTTATGTTGATCAAGCCATAACCAATGCTGGAAACTGGCTGATTGGAGGTGACCTAGAGGTTATAGAACCTATCAAGTACCATGATGGCCTTGATCGCTTCCGATTGTCTCCTGCTGAACTCCGTGAAGAATTCACAAGGCGCAATGCTGATGCTGTATTTGCATTTCAGCTGCGAAATCCTGTTCACAACGGCCATGCTTTGCTGATGACTGACACCCGTCGTCGGCTTCTTGAGATGGGATACAAGAACCCCATTCTCTTGCTTCATCCATTGGGAGGATATACAAAGGCAGATGATGTCCCACTTAGTTGGCGAATGAAACAACATGAGAAGGTATGTATTTGGCAACTAAATCGGGCACAGTGATTCATTATCTTTTTTCATGTAGTTTGTGCATTAATTTCTTCCCACAAAATATCTTCCTGTAAATAGCCCTTGAAAGGTGTTGTTCACTAATGCAGTTTCTCGACGTTTGATGTTTTGCCTCCACCAATTGTTATCATATAGAACTTCCTGTCCTTATCCAAATACTGATTCTTTTTTATATCATTTAATGTTTCTTCAGGTTCTTGAGGATGGTGTTCTTGATCCTGAGACGACTGTGGTTTCCATATTTCCCTCTCCCATGCACTATGCTGGCCCAACCGAGGTGCAGTGGCATGCAAAGGCTAGGATTAATGCAGGGGCTAACTTTTACATTGTTGGTCGGGACCCTGCAGGGATGGGTCATCCAATTGAGAATAGGGATCTGTATGACGCTGACCATGGGAAGAAAGTATTGAGCATGGCACCTGGACTGGAGCGTCTTAACATCCTTCCCTTCAAGGTATATATATTATTTGGCTGCGATGCTATTCATGGATTTTCTTTGATATCTTCCTTCATCATTAATTTATTCCCTTGCAGGTTGCTGCATATGATAAATCTCAAGGTAAAATGGCATTTTTTGATCCCTCAAGGCAACAGGACTTCCTCTTCATATCGGGCACCAAGGTATGCGTTCTTTTAATGTTGTTCCTGACATGTTTCTTTACTCTTAGAGTCAGCTATGCAAAGTAGTATTTAAAGAAACACACATTGCTAGTCATTTTGTTAAGTGCATAAATATATTTTATCTAAAAGAAGCTGCAAATTACAGATGCGAACACTTGCAAGGAACAAAGAGAACCCTCCTGAAGGATTCATGTGCCCTAATGGCTGGAAGGTGCTCGTTGACTACTATGACAGTTTGGTTCCTGCGGACAACGGTAAAGTCCCAGAAGCAGTTCCAGTTTAGACGGAGCTGATGTATCATATGTACTTCCCCTGTTTGAGAGAAACCTTGATAGCTAATTAGTCTCCTCTGTGTGATCAAGATTACTTGATAGCTAATTAGTGTCCTCTGTGTGATCAAAGATTTCATAAGATTCTCTGTCCAGAATTCTAATAAAACCATGTGAGACACTGGTGCAGAGAAACGACCTTGCCTCGACTGTAATTAGCGCCAGTAATTGCATCTTGCTTCACTGCATTTGTGCATGCAGGCGCTTTGTATCATAGCGTGATTGTCTTCTATAGATAATAGAAGGTAGATATTTTGCAATGTCTTTAGTTCTCAAAAATTTATCCATGATTTGCACTGGTTATAACTTAAGATGCTGAATCCATCAGCTTAAAGCATTGCTTGTAAAACTAGTGCATTTTACTTCCCCAAAAGAAAAAGCATGGACCACATTCTATAAGAGCAACTCCAGCAGCATGACAGAGCCTCGGGTTTGGGGAAAAAAATGCCAAAATCCGTTTCCAGTGAGGAGTCCAAGCCCGGGCGCAAAGTGGGACCCAGCAACCTGGGCTGGTTCAAGGGCAAGGTTGGCTTGAGCTCTAGCCCTCGTTTTGGTGCTGACGTCAGCACTACAGTACCACTACAGTGCTCACGTGCTACAATGCGCTACAGTCACGTGTCGCGCTCTGGGCTCTCCGATCAGATTTTTTTCTCCAATCCAACAACAGTCAATTTTTGTGCAATAAAAAAATGAAAAAAAATACCAAAAAATTACTGAATTTTTTTCCCTATAAATACCAAAATTTTATCCAATTGAGATATGAATTTTATAATAAATATTGACACGTATGAACCCAAAAATCTTATCCGAAAATATTATCCAAATTAATTGTTTAGATAAATAAATTTGTGAAAAAAACAAAAAAATAAATAGTAATTGCCCTTTGCCATAGCAACGGGTGGAAACACACAATACTATTTGCAAGGGCAACCACTATTCATGTGAATAGTGGCTGCCCTAGCTCCCCCCTTGCCATGACAATGGGCAAATGGGTGGAGTTGCTCTAATTGTTTTTGTGGTGGACATCACATGGATTTTTTTTTTACCACATTGTCATTCGAGAACCAGCCTCCCATTTGCTCCATAAGATTACATTATGAAATTCATATATTGAATGACAAACATAAGACTAGTTAATTGGGTAAAGACCACTACGATGTGATTCACTTATCCCTCTTTAGATAGCTGAATATTGGCTTAGCAGGAACTGGTATGCACTTGAAAACCCAACTGATTGGCCAAGATATGGCTGCAATTCCAATGCATGCCCCCCATTGGCCCCAACTTAGCCTCTCTGTATCTGCAAACCTCTCCAGAAGTTCCACCATAACCACCTGAACTGCAATGGTTATTGCAATGATGACCCAAAACAACTTGTTCTCTTGACTCCCTTTGAAGACATTATTCTTCTCAATGTTCCTTGAGTTGAATTCATTGAAGACTTGGCAGAAGACAAAAGTATTGAAGATCAAGGTGTTGTTGACCCTCTCATTTACACCAAAGATTGATCTGCCCCTGAACTGCAAGATCAAGAGGACAGCTATCTGGAACAAAGCTTGAGATAAAATGTTCCTCCACATGATGCAGGTGATCACGGGCTCTGTCCGCCCAACAGGTGGCCTTTCCATGAGCTCTTTGTTGGGCTTATCTGTGGCAAGAGCCAGAGCAGCCATTGTGTCCATGATCAGATTCACCCACAGCAACTGGACTGCTGTCAAAGGTACTTCACCAGCTGAGGCAGCTGCCACAAAGTTGATCACAAGAGTAGCAACATTTATTGTGAGCTGGAATTGAACAAATTTCTGGATGTTGGCATAAACACCCCTTCCCCACCTCAAAACAGTGACCAAAGTAGCAAAGTTGTCATCCAGAATGACAATGTCTGAACTTTCCTTTGCCACTTCAGTGCCCTGAATCCCCATTGAGAGTCCTATATGGGCTTCTTTCAGTGCCGGGGCATCATTGGTGCCATCGCCAGTAACAGCGACTACATGGCCTTTCTGTTTCAAGCACTGCACCATCAGAAGTTTATCAAATGGTGAAGACCTTGCCATCACACAAATCTCATCAACCTTCTGCATTCTCTGCTCTGGTGTGTAGTTCTGAAATTCCACACCTTCTACCACTGCTTCCCTGACCATGTCCTGGTCTGCCCTGAGTATCCCACACTCAGTAGCTATAGCTTTAGCAGTGAAAACATTGTCACCAGTGATCAATTTCACCTGCACCCCGGCGAACTGGCAAGCTTCTACTGCTTCCCTCACCCCTGGCCTACACGGGTCCTTTAGACCAACCAGTCCTAATAAGATCAAGCCGCTGTCTTCGAGCTTTTCATGTATTTTTTCATCACCGTGCTTGTAATCTTGAACTTGTTTGTGTGCAAAAGCAATGCATCGGAGACTGCTTGCTGCCATGCCTTGAATAGTTTGCTCAAACTTCATCCTTTCATCATCAGTCAGATCTTTTGTAATACCAGAAGCATCGTAGTAACTCGAACACATTTCTAATATCTTCTCTGCAGCTCCTTTCCAATGCACATGGGTGGTATTGTCTGCCTTCCTTTTTATCAAAACCCCGCTTCTTTTCTTCTGTGAATTGAAGGCTTCAACATGTTGAATGATACATTTCTTTGTCAATCCCTCCATGTCCATGTTCAGCTCCAGAGCAGCCCATGAAAGAATGGCTTTTTCAGTAGGACTGCCTGTAAACTCAAATTCGGATGCTGAAGTAGGCCTGTAAACACTGCCCGTCGTGTTAAAAGCCACTCCTTCTAGGATTAAATCAAGAAGACAATGAGGAATTGATGAATAAGCAGCACCATCTTCCACAGATTTTTGGCCAAGCCAAAACTTTGTAACTTTCATCTGGTTGAGTGTGAGCGTGCCAGTTTTGTCTGTACAAATGGTGGTGGCACAGCCCATAGTCTCACAAGCAGAGAGCCTCCTCACCAACGCCTGCTCTGCCATCATCTTCTTCATCGAATATGCAAGAGTTAGAGTGACAGCCAATGGGAAGCCTTCTGGAATTGCAATCACAACAACAATAACTGCAATTGCAATTATGTCCACCACAGCATTCACCACATCATCAATCTTCGTCTTGCTGCCATCGAACTTACCGATTTCGTTCTCCTTCTTTGTGTTTCCAGTGAAGTAACGAGCTAATAAGACCACAAAGACCATGAATGCAACTGCCAAACCAATCTTAGCCATCAATGGGGTTAGTTTGCTGAGCCGTTCTTGTAAAGGCGTCTGTTGATCACTGGTGTCATGGTTAATCAAGCTCATCATTTGGCCCCATGTTGAGTTCATGCCAACTGAAGTGACAAGCATTTGGCCATAGCCATCAACCACCTTGGTTCCAGAAAACAAGAATGGATTGTGGCTGCAATCGACTTCCACATGGTCGCTTTCCCCTGTCATGCTTGATTCGTCTACGCTCAACGAATGTCCATATAAGAACAATCCATCAGCAGGAACTTGATCACCAATCTTCAAGAAAACAACATCTCCAACTACTATATCGAAGTTCGAAATCTTTTGCCTTCGCCCGCCTCTCAAAACATCAATCGGGATATCCTCACTGGCTTTCGACAGCTTGTCGAATTGTTTGCTCTGCCTGTAGTCACTAAAGGCAGATATAGCAACAATAAGAAAAACAGCAACAAAGATGCTTCCACCATCATACCATCCTTCTTTTAGTCCTTGCTGCTTAATGCCAAAGCCAAGTGAGAGTGCAGCGCAGCCTAAAAGGATGACAATGGTAAGATCCTTAGAAGCTTGCCACATAAAATGGAAAAGGCTTTTCGAAGGTGGCTTCTTATACGTGTTTGAACCGAATGCTTTATGTCGGAGGGCAATGTTGTCACCGTCGTCGTGGACACCACGCTCAATGTCGGTTTGAAGAGCAGATGCAATGCCATCGATGCCTTCAAGCTCCCGAAGTAGGTGTAGATTTTTCTCCTTCATGAGTTCAGTGAGGCATTTGCTATCAATTTTGAACCCATTTTTCAGCTGAAAATGGGAAGTGGTGTGAACAGGAGAGTATGAAATCTTGGTACTTTTTTTCTCAGCTTCTGACTTCTTGACCAGAGAGAGCATGGCCCTGCAAAAAAAGATTGCAGCAAAAGTCTTATGCCACCTCTTTCTGGCCGTGCTAATTGTGTTTTCCCCTTCAAGTAGAACGTCAATGGAATTCAATTTTGCATTGCAAATGCTAGACATGGTCAATTTCTAGAGCAGAAAGAGAGAGCAGTTACAAGGAGAAACAATGGAAAACTGGGAATGCAGATAAATAGAATTAGGTTGTTGTGTTTCTTATAATATACTTATATAGCTGTGAAGGTACATTTGGTTCCTCATGTCATTGGCTTCTGTTCTGAAAATTGATACATTACAATTTACAACCTCTTGCAGACTGTAATAAGTTTACTGCCTTTTCTACCTAATATCTTGCAATTTGGTTGTGACAATATTATGTACATAGTTTCAAAGTCATGAAACAGAACCACTTGATTGTTTTATCTCATTGAGTGATGGATGAAATTCTTTAGCAAGATTCACTTGAAAGAAAAACATCCATTGGAAGTTGCTGAGAAATTGCTTGGACTTGCTTTGGATGCTTGCTATCATTGATATTAGAATTTCGGATATTTGTGTTTATGTGGAGAGGGAAACTTCCATTTGGTAATGATATCTCCTGTTTATTTGTATGCATATTGGTGGACAATGCACGTTAATAATGCATCAAACAACTGAGGTCCACCTTATGCTTACATTATAGTGAAAACGAAACTCAAATGTTGTCGTCTATAAAATTTGAACTCCGGACATCCTCCAAAAATGTAGAAGCTGAATGCCACTAAATCAAATGGTCACGTAATTTAAAATAGTACAAAATAAAGGGAGGATAACTTGTGAAAGCTGCCATGCTGGATGCAGATGCAAAGATGAAAGCTATGCTCTGTCATCACGAAACGTATGCCTACCTTCTTTTGTTGTCTATGAATCAATGTTTCAAGCTAGAGGGTGAAGCAACCTTGACTTGGTAGGGTTGAGCAGTCCTCCCTCCGTTCCTCAAGATATGATACAAATTATTATTTGTTTAAAATCTTTATTTTATTTGGTAAAGGATAACTACAACATTGGGTTTTGTAATTAATTTGTACCCAGAGACTCCATATGTCAAGTTTTTGATGAGCTACACCGTATAAATTTGATAATATTTCATGATAAACTATATGCTGAATCTCCTTACATACAAAAACAACGTTGCACATACTTACATGATACATCTACACATTTACGTTGTGCAACCAAGTTTGAATTATATTATTTTAGAATAATTAAAGAATGTAATAAATTATCAAATAAAAAATGTAAAGTATCATCAATTCCATTCAAAGCAACTAAAACTTATTCAACCCCTATGCATCCAGCCTGGGGGCTTCCTTCCTTCAAGATACTGATGGGTGCACGCGGATGGTTCCCCTAAAAGCAAGGCAAAAGATAAAGAAATGCAGAATTGAAATAGGAAATGTATATTCTTCTCTGCTTCACTACTGTGAAGCCAGGCTCCTTTAATACATCAAGGATGGAAAAGCTGATAAGGATGAAGATGTAAGATACGTCATAGTTATCTAACTGTTACTCTAGCCTGCCCAACAAGGTGGGGAAAAGTAAGAAGAGCCTAACAAAAAGAGAAATACATATATTGGGCCAAAGCCATGAGAGATATTGTATTGGGCTGTTAATGGGACTTCAACTGCTGAAACTGCTGCTACAAAGTTGATCACAAGAGTAGCAACATTGACAGTGAGCTGGAATTGGATGAACTTCTGGATGTTATTGTAAACACATCTTCCCCATTTCAAAACTGTGGCCACTGATGCAAAGTTGTCATCCATGATCACACTATCTGAGCTCTCTTTGGCAACTTCTGTGCCTTGAATTCCCATAGAAAGTCCTATATCAGCTTCTTCAACGCCGGTGCATCATTCGTGCTGTCATGGCCTTTCTGTTTCAAGCATTGCACCATTAGAAGCTTGTCAAATGGAGACGAGCTTCTAATGGTGCAATGCTTGAAACAGAAAGGCCATGTGGTTGCAGTGACAGGTGACGGCACAAATGATGCACCGGCGTTGAAAGAAGCTGATATAGGACTTTCTATGGGAATTCAAGGCACGGAAGTTGCCAAAGAGAGCTCAGATAGTGTGATCATGGATGATAACTTTGCATCAGTGGCCACAGTTTTGAAATGGGGAAGATGGGTTTACAATAACATCCAGAAGTTTATCCAATTCCAGCTCACTGTCAATGTTGCAGCTCTTGTGATCAACTTTGTAGCAGCAAATTCGCAATGCTCGACAGTAAGAGTAGCATAAGAGGGAGAGCGAGGTATTTTGGTGTTTGTGAATTTGGGTTTGGATAGAGAAGAAAGGTTGAAGGCTCTAGAGCAGTAGATGGTTGCAAAAGCAGAATGCCATTTTCTTTGGTGTTTGCTAAGAGTGCTTTTTTGAACAGCAAAAAGCAACGCAATTTCAATGCACCCAAGTTTCGCATGCAGGGTGGTCGACATGCTGCTGCTCAGCTCAATTGAAAACCGCAAAACTAAAGAATGTGATGAAAACTAAGGCAGAGAGATGAAAGAATATTCTGACCAACTGATTCGCAAGGAGTTATGGACACAAGATTGACAATTCTCAAGGAAAACTGAAAAGTAGAGAAAATGTTTTGGGGAATTTTTAAGGAATTAAATTGTTTATAGAATGCAATTGTAGTACGAGGATCACCACCTTGCATGAAGAGGCCTACTTATAATCTTCTTTTGGAAGAGGAAGACAATAAGAGCACGTTTCTCATTGGAAACTTGTACATGAAGTTGTTAGAGAAGACCAAAAGAACTTACACGCACTAGCAGCAGGCTCCGGGAAACCACCCAGAAAAAAAGAAGAAAAAAGGATCGCTGACTTTATGTCAGCTCTTATTTTGTATTCATATTAAGAGCTAAATTTTTATTTTTGAAGCAGACATGGACTTAATCAAGTTGGCTAGAACAGATGTGCTCCCCACTCTGCACCCGAGTTTGGATCCCTCTTCCTCTAGCTTAGATTAGTTTAAAGTAGATTATCGCTTGAATGAACAAATTTTTATTTATTTATTTATTTATGAAATAGTTTAATATGTGTTGTGTATTATTAAAAAAGCATAGAATATTAAGGTCGGTATGAAATAGTTTCAAAAATTCAAGTTACTGCTGACATTTTAAATACATCGTATTTGTCCCTTCCTCCAAGGTTAGGGTTTTAGCGCCACCAGTCTCCAGTATAGGTTGGTTAGGGTTTCTAGGTGATTGCTTGTGGCTTACGGCGGCACTATTGTTCAAGCGGGTTTTGGGTGTTGTCTTCGGCTTACAGAGGGAAGCATCGAGTGGATGATGGCGGCTGTTGATGATTTGGTACCTGGTCTTACCTCTTCCTTGGCAATTTCAGAATATGAATCAGTGGAGGTTGTCGGGTTAGAGGATCTGGGAAACTTGAAGGCTGAACGGTTTTTGCTTGTTGGGAAGTTGCTCACTTCAAAGGCGTTTCATAAGGAGGCTTTATTTGGCACGTTGAAGAGGATTTGGCATACAAGGGAGGAGTTCACTGCGGTGCCTCTGAACGACCCCAAGAGGTTCCTGTTCTCTTTCAAATCAGATTTCGATCGGAAGAAGGTGATGCGGGGCTCCCTTTGGACTTTTGATAGGGCGTTGTTGCTACTGACGAGCACTGATGGTGAAGTGGATCCTATGTCCGTTTCGGTGGATTCGTAGAGTTTTTGGGTGCGCGTGCGGCGTATTCCGCTGATTTTTCTGACTCTGCCCATGGGAGAAAAACTAGGGAATTTTTTGGGTACATTCTACATGGTGGATCGTGGCTTAAATGGAGACTGCTTGGGGAGATTTCTACATATTAGGGTGGGTTTGAAAATCAATGAGCCGCCGAAACGGTGTGTCACACTGCGTTTGTCGGCAGATGAACCGGCTAAACAATATGAAATAGAATATGAGCGGCTCTCGTATTTCTGTTTATACTGTGGGCGACTGGACCATGTGGGTGCTGCATGCAGTGTCAAGGCCTCAGGGGCTATTGAAGTTGAACAATACAGACGGTGGAAATGATAATGAAGGATGTGTATAGTACCCGGGCAGAGAATCATTTAAAAGGCACATAGCTAGGTTTGTTTGATGACGAATCTCAAAAGGATGATATGACTTCGATGTCGTCCAAGCGTAGGGGGTGGTTCGATCCCTTGATGAGGCTTTTGCCGAGCAAGGAGTGATGGAGATGGATAGTGGGATGGATTGCCCCCTGGCGCAAGTCTTTAAAAGGCGTCGAGTGTACAGGGAAAAAGAGGTCACAGTCTCCTCACAAGGGGCCGATGTTGATGTGGTTGGCCACAGGGAAGGTAGGGTGCATATGAACCAAGGGGTCTATGAGGCTGTGCTGTCAGATATGGCCACCTGCGGCCGAATGGGGATATCTCACAGATCCTCCCTACTGCTCTAAGGTGTTCGGATAAGGGCAAAATAGTTTTGGGGGAAGATGTCATTGCGGCTTCTGCTATCTTAAGGCCGCCAACCTCATTATGCAAAGGTAGTATACAACGTGGCTTTCAGCTGGGCCGTGTCAGGCCCCGGGGGAGTCCTATGATGACTGATAATACATCTAGTGCTAAACGCACACCCGTGATGGGTCCCGGGGGTCGGGCCCATCACGAGCAATGACAATATTATGCTGGAATGTCTGGGGTCTAGGCAACCTACGAACATTCCGAGCTCTGAGATTCATTCTCAGAGATAAAAAGCCTCGTATCATCTTTTTGTCGGAGACCAAAAAGACGGTGCGCCAGATGGAGTGTGTGCAACGGTAGTTGGGTTTGATGGGGTGCTTCAATGTTGGTAGAGAAGGAAGGGCGGGGGGTTTAGCTTTGTTATGGCAACACGGAGTGGAAGTATCTATTCTTTCTTCTTCTCCAGGGCATATTGAAGCTATTTTAAAGGGTGTGGATATGGAGACTTTCCGCTTTACTGGGTTTTATGGTAATCCTGAAATGAGGTTACGTCGGCACTCTTGGGATTTGCTACGACGAATTGCAGGGACTGTTCAAGGGCCATGGCTTGTAGGTGGGGATTTCAATGAAATACTTGAGGCTCATGAGTACTTTGGTTGCCGTTTCCGACCCATGTCACAAATGAGGGCCTTTCGGGAAGCTTTGGAGGAGTGTGGTTTGACAACTATTTGGTTTCAGGGGTATAAGTTTACATGGTCTAACCGATGGCAAGGTGACGGGAATGTAAAGCTCCGGCTGGATAGAATGGTGGCTAATGGTGACTTTGTTAGGACCTTTCTTGAGGTCACAACGCATCATCTGAATTCTATGGTGTTTGACCATCTTCCTTTGTTGTCATATTTGAGACCAAGTACTTGGGTGAGGAAGCATAAGCGGTTCTTGTTCGAGGAAATGTGGACTACTGTTGAGGGTTGCCAAGACGTCATTACGCATGCTTGGGAGTCTGAGACTGGAACTGTCGTAGAGAAATTGAAGGCATGTCAAGGGTCTCTGCGGACGTGGAATAATGACCATGTAGGCCGAATACCTACAAAGCTCCGAAGTCTGCAACGGAAGTTAGATGACACCCAAAGGAGAAGTTTTTCTCTAGTAGTTGAGTTTCAACATAGAGATATATGTAGGGAAATGGATGTGCTATTGGAAAGAGAAGAAATGTTGTGGAGGCAGAGATTGCGGGTCTCATGGATGAAATATGGGGACAAAAATACAAGATTTTTCCATGAACATGCAAAAATGCGAGGACGACGGAATCTAATTACGACTATTGTAGATGATCAGGGGATTTGGCGTACATCTATTGAAAGTATTGGTAGTGTTTTTTGTGGTTATTTTCAAGGCTTGTTTGCTTCCAATGGACTTCATGATGCAGGAGCAGTCACTGAGGTGGTCAAGCCGATACTTACTCCATCTCAAAATTTGTGCCTCAATCAGTTTTTCTTAAGGGAGGAGATCGAAACTTCTTTGGGTTAAATGTTTCCTACTAAATCTCCAGGAGTGGATGGTATGTGGGCACTGTTTTATCAGAAGTATTGGGGGGTGGTAGACAATGATGTTGTAGGGTACTGCCTTAATGTCTTGAATGGGGGTGCCAGTGTGAAAGAAATTAATCATACACTTTTGACGCTCATTCCTAAGGTAGACAATCCGGTTAAAGTTACGGAGTTTTGGCCGATTAGTTTGTGTACGGTGATCTATAAGATGATTTCCAAGACTATAGTTAACAAGTTGAAGCCTATTATGCCGCTTATTATCTCTGAGTGGGCGGTTACTTGATAGTAGCAGCATGTTCCAAGGAGTGGGGAGATTTTTAAGGAGAAAAATCTGCCCCATGACATGAGTAGGCTGCAAGGTGGTGGCTTGTGAGTGCTAGATAGGTTTTGTGGAGGGAAAACATGTCTAGGTGGCCAATCTAACGGTTGGCAAGGTTTCCTACGTAGATGGGGGTGTCATCTACATAGTGTAGGCTTATAAATACCTTGTGAAGGTGTGTGGTTGAGATACCAAGTGATGTGGTAATCCAATTGAAAGTGAAAACTTGTAATCCTTTGCTATTGTGAATAGAAGGTTGGGAGTTTTCCCGTATATGTGTGTGCGAAAGTTTCCTGCGTGAGGCAAGTCTCACTTGTGTGCGTTGGTATTACTTGTTCTGCTGCGTGTGCTCTGAAGCCTCACGGGTTTGGAGGTGAAGAGAAGGCTGACTTAGGTGGAGTCTAAGTGCCGGATAAGGGTCGAAATATTAAAGGAGTTTTTCACCCCTGTTACACCTAGTGTAGTGGTTTGGAGTATTTACTCTCTCAGACAAGGTCCTGGGTTCAAGTCCTAGCATCCGTATAGTGTGTATCAGTTTAGTATACTATTATCTCTCGCAATAGGAAAGGTTAGATATCATATTTGTGACTTTGTTTTATTGTGTTTTTCTTCATATGAAATAATATATATTACCAAGTTTCAATTAGGTTGAATGCTCTCTTGTACATGAGGAGAGTCGTGGGAAACAACCTTAAGAACCAAGGGTTTCTACGTAGCTAGGATTTTCGGTCTTGTCGCTCTCAGACGTTGGCTCCTGATGCTGCTCCCCTGACATCTCCAGCCTCCAGCGTTTGTGTGAAGTCATCTTCTGCTACTTTGCTCATCGTCTCAGTTAGTTTCGTTGGTACACAAAACTCTTCTTTTGGTTTTCCCCCTTTGTCTTTGGCTGTCACAGACTTGCTTTCTTATGAATGAAATCTTCTTCTCAAAATTTTCAATTGGGTTGACTCAATTAAGGTTTGTTAATCTTTCTCGTATTTTTGAGTGTTTTCTCCACATATGGTTTGTTTGGGTTTTTGAAATTTTGATTTAACATCTATTGAGCTTAATTTATGTGTAGGTTACCAAAGAAAAGAAGTTGTAAAGATTTTTGTTGCAACACCCGGTCCAAAAATGAGTTGTAATGAAGAAGGAAAGGTCTAGAAATGAAAAGGATGTATTGTGAATTTTTAAATTTGTTACTACTACAGTAATGGAGACTTCAAAACACACACAAGGGGTTTCGAACCCCCACCACCCTCATTCCTCTCCAATACCTTATCCACCATGCTACATACAACTTTGTGATTATATACTATGCCTTTTGATATTTATAATGTTTCTTTTTCTTTCTTTTCCGTCTATCTTCTCCTCTCTCTTTTTTTCTTTTTTTTCCTTCTCTCTTCTCTCCTTTTTTTTCCTTTCTCTTTAGTTTTCTCTCCTCTTTTTATTATTTATTTATTTATTTATAATTTCTTTCCTTCTCTCTTCTCTCTGTCTTTTTTTTTCCCTTTTCCTTCTCTCTTCCCTCCTCTCTCAATCTTTTTTTTTCCTTTCTTTTCCTTATATTTTCTCTCATCTCTCCGCTTTATCATCATGCTTTAAATTTTTTGGCAATTCCTGCAATGGTTTTTGTCGAGTGAGGTATGAAACTTCATCTACTCATCACGCTCTACCTGTTTATGTACTTGGTTAGGGTAAATTTTGAGGTTTTAAAGATCGATTCTTAAATCCATTTTTGGTCGGCGGTTTGATGGTGTTTTTGACTATTTCAGGTCCGTTTTTGGCCATGGTCCAAGAACAAAAGTTGATTCCCTAGTTAGACTGAATCTATTGGTATATGTATTGTATGGTGTTTGGAGAAATTTCCATCATCGAAAATTTCTCAAGACACCCAGCGTTGCTGGGGTGGGTGGCGGTGTGTGGGCCATGGTGTGGCAGCCCTTTGAGTTCTAAATTGTTACCCTTGTAGTCATGAGTAAGACGGTATGCTTAGAACGGGTATTGCACCTATTATGCGATATCCGAGTTCGATAGGTTCAGACCGTTAGGTCAGTCCCAATTCCAAATATGTTGTTCTATGTACCTCTAGAATCGTGTAGGAACTCGTTGATCAAGAATAGGAGTCCCGGATACTCCGAGTCAATGATTCTAAGTTTAGGCAAAACGATCGCCGTCCAATCGTGCGGTTGGCTTAGATCCGACCGCTCGATCGATATCAAACTTTTGGATTTGTTTAGTAAACTTTGTTAGACCTATAAGAACTTTCAGATTGAGAATTAGAGTTCGTGGGCCCCGCGTGCCTAATTGACCTAAGTGGTGGGCCTCGCTGGTCCGATTGGGACCATTTGGTTGGGAGGTGTTTGGGGCTTGGTTGTTTGATTTTAAGTTGGTATTTTGCTATAAGAGGTTTATTAAATATTTGTGAATTATTGTTTTATCTCTTTTACCTTCCAAACATTGTGTGTGTATATATATATATATATATTTGTGTTTGTTTTTATATATGTGTTAAATGGATTAATAATTGGATTGGTTGCCTTTGAAAATATTGATGTCTACGGACATCCTGGTTGCCTTATAAAGTATTGATGTCTTTGGACATACAATTGCCTTCGGAATGTCTTCGGACATATGGTTGCCTTCGGATTATTTTGTGTTCTCATGTTGAGTATATCTCCCTGAGTTCTGCGAGGGGAATTGACGGATTATATTGCATTCTCATGTTGAGTATATCTCCCTGAGTCCTGCGAGGGGAATTGACAGATTTGTCTACGCGTGTATAACATTGCCCCACGAGTATCGGGGACGCCCGAACAGTGTGGTGCGATGATTTGTGTTCTCAGGTTGAGTGTATTTCCCTGGGTTCTGCGAGGAATGCGTCTCAGGCCAACCATGGGTCCCCTGAGTTATGTCTGGAATGCGTTTCAGGCTGACCTCGTGTCCCTCGAGTTATGCGAGGATGTATCACACATGTGGTCACATGTGTGGTACTTGAAATTGACGGTATATTATTGGAATTGATGGATTATGTTTGCAGTACATCTATATGGAGATTATTAGTGCAGTACTAACGTGTGGTACAGTTAACATGATATTATTCACCACCCTACTCATATTATCTGCATAGGGTTGGCTAGGATCCCTAGCCACCTGCCCGACTTGTCTACACAGGTAGTTAGCTAGTTTCCCCTTTCCGTGTTGCCTTCAGATTTGATGGTGTTTCCATATACCCCTTGGTGGGTGATTACATGATATATATACTATGCGGATGATTGCAGTTATGACTTTCAGGTAAAAGGTTTGGTTACGCGAGAATTTGGATGTATAATGATAAACTAATGGAACAGTTATGTACTTGATTTAATGGCATGATATTCAATTATATAGCTTGTGGAGACCAAGATAAAGAATGATTCCAAAATTTCTTCGTTGGTTTCATTTTGAATATTTATGTACTATCTTAATTGTGTTTAAGATAAAAAGAACTACGTGTGGCTTGATCCCTTAGTAAGGGTACGTAGGTAGAAGTGTTCCTATTTTCGTAGTGGCGACGACAACAACTCTACTTTATGTCATCTGGGTTGGTTTTGCCCTTTGTTTTGGGTTGTAATAATTATATCAAATCTCTTGTGAGTTGGGTGTTTTGTTTGTAGTTGAGTCTCTACTTGTATTTTTATTTGTGAGAGTTTAAAAGTTGTAGTTATATTGGTAGTTTTGGGCGCTGTTGTCCACGTCTGATTTATTTAGGCTTGTAGCTTTCATGTGGAAATTTGTTTGGCTTTATGCCACTATTAGTGGAGATATATTTGTGGTGTATTTCTCTATATATGAAATAACCATGCGTGGTTACTATGCTTCCATATTTGAATCAACCCTTTTTGGGTAGTTTATGCCCTTATGGCTGATGGCCTTGGTGGCTAAGTTATGAATACGATTATCGCTTATTCTCAAAAAAGAAAAGCATAATTTATTAAAGTTGTGTATTAAAATAGGGAAATCTGAAGATTAACTTACATTATCAACTATATGCTGAATCTACTTACATACAAAAACAATGTTGCAAATACTTACATTATCAACTGTATGCTGTGCAACAAAGTTTTAATTACAATATTTTAGAATAATAAAAGAAGCTAATAAATTATCAAATAAAACAATGCAACCATGCCTGATGCATCCAGCCTGGGGGGATTCCTTCAAAATACTTCAAATGGAGTTCTTCTTATGTTTTTTCATCTTCAGATAGCTGAAAATGGGTTTCTCTGGTACAGGTATAGACTTGACAACCCAACCAATTGGCCAAGAAACAGCTGCAATTCCAATACATGCACCCCATTGCCCCCAATTCAACCTCTCTGTATCTGAAAACTTCTTGAGAAATTCCACCATCACCACCTGAAGCAGAATTGTCACTGCAATGATCCCCATAAACAATTTGTTGGTGTGAATTCCCTTGAACACATTCATCTTCTCAAGCTTCCTTGCATTGAACTCATTGAACACCTGGCACAGCACAAAAGTGTTGAAGATCAAGGTGTCCTTTACCTTGTCATCCACACCAAAGATTGATTTGCCTCTGAATTGCAGGGTCAGGAGGATTGCAATCTGGTACAGTGCTTGAGGCAAGAGGTTCCTCCACATGATGTTGGTGATGAGAGGCTCAGTCCTTCCCACTGGTTTCTTCTCCATGAGTTCTTTTGTGGGCTTCTCAGTGGCAAGAGCCAGAGCACCTAGTGTGTCCATGATCAAATTCACCCACAACAATTGAACTGCTGTTAATGGGACTTCACCTGCTGAAACTGCTGCTACAAAGTTGATCACAAGAGCAGCAACATTGACAGTGAGCTGGAATTGGATGAACTTCTGGATGTTATTGTAAACACATCTTCCCCATTTCAAAACTGTGGCCACTGATGCAAAGTTGTCATCCATGATCACAATATCTGAGCTCTCTTTGGCAACTTCTGTGCCTTGAATTCCCATAGAAAGTCCTATATCAGCTTCTTTCAACGCAGGTGCATCATTCGTGCCGTCACCTGTCACTGCAACCACATGGCCTTTCTGTTTCAAGCATTGCACCATTAGGAGCTTGTCAAATGGAGAGGACCTTGCCATTACACAGATTTGGTCCACCTTCAACATTCTCTCTTCCGGCGTGTAGTTGCGAAATTGCACACCTTCTACCACTGCTCCACTGAACATGTCCTGATCAGGCTTGAGTATCCCACATTCGGTGGCTATGGCTTTTGCCGTGAAAATATTGTCACCTGTGATCATTTTGACATTTACCCCTGCATATTGACAGTCTCCAACTGCTTTCTTCACCCCAGGACGGCATGGATCTTTAAGACCAACAAGTCCTAATAGAGTCAATCCATCTTCTTTAAGCAAAGCTCTGTGTTGTTGTTCATCCACTTGCTCCTCTGCTGGAATTTCTTTATGTGCAAATGCAATGCATCTGAGGCTGCTAGCTGCCATACCTTGAATAATCTGCTCAAATCTCATTTTTGCATTGTCATCCATATTTATAACAAGTCCAGAGGCATTGTAGTAACTTGTGCACATTGCTAGTATCATCTCAGCAGCTCCTTTCCAATGTGCTTGAATTGTATTGTTGTCAGCCTTCCTCTTCATCAAAATCCCGCTTCGTTTCTTCTGTGAATTGAAGGCCTCAACGTAGAGAATGGTACAACTCTTCACCACTTTCTGCATATCCATCTTCGATCCATGTACCGCCCACGAAAGAATAGCCTTCTCAGTAGGACTGCCTGAGATTTCAATTTCTGAAACCGAACTAGGCATGTATACGCTACCAGTTGTATTCAGAGCAACCCCTTCTTGGATCAAATTAAGAACATATGGAGATATAGATGAAAAAGCTTCTTCGGCCACAGGTTCTTCACCCAACCAAAACTTAGTTACCTTCATTTCATTCATGGTGAGAGTGCCTGTTTTGTCAGTACAAATGACGGTAGCAGAGCCCATGGTCTCACAAGCAGAGAGCTTCCTCACCATTGCTTTATCAACCATCATTCTCTTCATGGAATAAGCAAGAGTCAGTGTCACAGCTAGAGGCAGGCCTTCTGGAATTGCCACCACAACAATTGTAACTGCAGCTGCTACAATCTCAACGACCGCATTTAATATGTCATCAACTTTGGTCTTGCTGCCATTATACTCCTGATTTCCATTCTCATCCTGTGTATTTCCTGTGAAGTATCTAACTAACAAGACAATGAACACTAGAAAAGCAACAACTAAACCAACTTTACCAATTGATGAAGTTAGCTTGTTGAGGCGAGCTTGTAAAGGGGTCTGTTCATTCGTGTCACGGCTGATTTGGCTCATCATTTCACCCCAAGTTGTGTTCATGCCCACAGAAGTCACAAGAATCCGAGCGTAGCCATCAGCCACTTTGGTGCCAGAGAACAAGAATGGATTTTGGGTTGGATTTATTCCCACATGGTCACTTTCCCCTGTCATGCTTGATTCATCTACTTGTAATGAATGGCCATCAAGAAACAACCCGTCAGCTGGAATTTGATCTCCAATCTTCAAGCAAATGACGTCCCCAACCACAATATCGAATATCGAAATCTGTCGGCGCCTGCCGCCTCTCACAGCTTCAATTTGGACATTGTCCCTGACTTTTGATAACTTATCAAACTGCCCGTTCTGCCTGTAATTACTTACAGCGGACACAGAAATTACCAGAATGATTGCCAGAAATATGCTTCCGCCATCGATCCAGCCTTCTTTAAGGCCATGCACTTTGATCCCGAGACCAAGAGAGAGCGCAGCACAGCCTAAGAGGATGATAATTGTGAGGTCTTTGAACGCTTCCCACACAAAATGGAAGAACCCTTTTGCTGGTGGCTTCATGTATGTGTTTGAGCCAAATGCTTCAACTCTTTTGGCAATGTCTTGAGCATCACCATAGCCATGGATTCCATGCTCTGCATCAGTTTTGAGAGCTGATGCTATTTCTTCAACCCCTCCCAGCTCCCGGAGCTGGGTGAGGCTTTTCTCCTTGACAAGGTCAGTGAGGGTGGTTTGATAAATTTCGAACTCATTATCTGGCTTGACAGTGAGAGTAGTATAAGAGGGAGAGCGAGGTATTTTGGTGTTTGTGAATTTGGATTTGGATAGAGAAAAAAGGTTGAAGGCTCTAGAGCAGTAGATGGTTGCAAAAGCAGAACGCCATTTTCTTTGGTGTTTGCTAAGAGTGCTTTTTTGAACAGCAAAAAGCGACCCAATTTCAATGCACCCCAGTTTTGCATGCAATGTGGTAGCCATGCTGCTTAATAATAGAAAATAAAAAACTTAAGAGAATGTACTGAAAATTAAGGCAGAGAGATGAAAAGACTATTTTGACCAATTATTCAATTAACCAAGGAAAGAACTATTGATAAGAGAATTTGTCTGGAGATGATGCAAATTTGCTGTTGCCTTGAATCACCTTGGACACTCGAATTTATAGTTACTTGGATCAAGATTTTCCATCTCATTTCTCATGAAGCAAACGCGTATTTTGTTTTCTTTATAAGTAAAAGATAGTACTTTACGTTAAATTAATAAATTTATGTGTGAGTGGAATATATGCAGCAGAAACTGAATGAGCAAGGCAAAAAGAAGAAGACAAGAAGTCCTACCTGGTATTCTCACGCTATTGTTGTTGAAAAAGGAAAAGAAAATACAGGTCGGTTTTCCACGTACTTTATAAAAAGAAATAAAAAAGCCAAAGAAATTTGAGTCGTCTTTTTTAAGTGGTTCTCACGCTCATTCGTTCTCTGTGCGATTCTACTGCATTCAGATTGATTAATGTTCAAGTTTCCTTTTTCTTTTTATTTTTTATTTTTTTTAATTTTCATAATGATAACTTTGATGTATACAACACAAATTAGTGTGTACAATTCAATGTACCAAAACATAAAAATACCTAGTAGTATTTTTCTCTTGTCAAAAAGTTTGCGTTAAACACTTTTATTTTTCTTTTCTTTTGTTTCAGAAAGTTGGGTTTCATGAAATTTGAACTTGACATCATCGTCTACAACAAAGTGATACTACCGTCACGTATTTAAGAGTTAATAAAATATCTAACACCACTCTTCTTGCCCACTAAGGGATTAGAGTGGTTCCAGCCCTCATCATAATATATTAATATATTTTGTGATACTTTTAGAGTATCTACAATCATGCTTCTTATTTTTCAGTTAAAATTTTGCTAAAAACACATAAAAGTTATTTTAAGAGCTCTCCATAAAATTTGAACTCCAATCATACTCTCTAGTATAGTCTAAAATATCGATAATATCGACGAAATATCAAGGATATTTCGGTTTTTTTCGAATCACGGATATTTCGGAACATATCCATGTACATATCGTATAAATATCGATAATATCGACGTTAATATCGGAAAATATCGATGTCGATAATTTCGCTCACATTTCAGCAATATTTTGTCAAAATATCGGTGTAATATCGCTAAAATATGGAAAATATCAATGTAAAGGAAAAAAAAAGGAAAAAGAAGAAAGAAAAAAAAATGGAAATAAGGGAGGAAAAAAAAACACAAAGGGGGATTTGAACCCCTCCCATTTTACTCATCCAACACCTTAACCACTATATATCACTTATGTTTTAGTGATAATATGCTAAAATATTTATATTTATATGGGTGGCATGTTAACAATTACATGCAAAACTATTTTGGGGATTTATCATTTGATGAATACTCTTTACAATACACTTACTCTACACATAGAGATGATGAAGATAGTGAAAAATTTGAACCTCATAGGAACTTTATGTGGTACTAAGTCACTCATGTATCTTACCATACAATGTATAAAGTGTAAAATATTGTAGTAAATCATTATATATAAATGATTATGGTGTGTTTAATCTTTTTTTCATTAATTACTACATATTTTCTACACTCACAGTGTTTGCCAGCTCGCTGTATAATCAACTTAAATCAATTAAATCCATCATGTAATGCATTTCCTTCTAATTTTTTTTGATAAACTAATAGATAATTGATTAAATAAACATTCTCCAAAGTTTCAATAAAAATTTCCAAGTTTGTCTTATAATTTCCATGGTTTTTATTCAATTTTTATCGATATCGATAATGTCATGATATTTCCATGTTTTTGGACTACCGATATTTCCAATATCGTTGATATTTTAGACCATGCTCTCTAGTTTAGGAAGTCATAAATACTATAGTTATTTTTTTAATTCAATATGATTGGTCCATCTCTATAAAAAATAAAAAATAAAAAATAGTTAGCATTAATTAAAAGTATAAACTATGTATAAAATAAAGCAGCATTAAATTATAGGGAGCCACTAGGAGTCATTTCTCTCTCCTCAGATTTAGGACCTCCTAGAGATCTCCCTATTTTAGGAGGTGGATAAGGAGCATGGTTGGAGTATATTTTTCGAATTCATCTCTAAAATTTGTCTAAGGAGGTGGTTTAGGGAGCCCATTGTGGATGCTCTTAATATTTTAAGAGTCTCCTATTCAAGTTTACCTCTTTTTTTAGATCACTTTCCTTAAAATTTAATTAGTATACATATTTTTATTTTTATGCAAATCCTTAAAATCCAAGAGTCATTTTCAACCATTTCTTTGCTCTTATAACTAGGTTGGATCAAAGGATTCACTAGTATAGTGGTCTATAGTATTTACTCCCTCAGGCAAGGTCCTGGGTTCGAGTCCTAACATTCGTGTAGTGTGTGTAAGTTTAGTATACTATTGTCCCTCTCAATAAGAAAGGTCTTTAAATAAAAAAAAAAAAGTTGGACACCATATTTGTGACTTTGGTTTATTATGTTATTCTTCATATGATATAATATATATATTATCAAGTTTTAATTAGGTTGGATGCTCTCTTGTTCACGAGAAGAGTTGTGGGAAACAACTTTTAGAACCAAGGGTTTCTGCGCAGCTAGGGTTTTCGGTCTTGTCACTCTTAGACGTCGGCTCTTAATGCTGCTCCCCTAACGTCTCCAGCCTCCAGTGTTTGTGCGAAGTTGCCTCATGCTGCTTTGCTCATCATCTCAGTCAGTTTCGTTAGTACGCATAACTCTTTATTTGGTTTTCCCCCATTGTCTTTGGCTATCACAGACTTGCTCTCTTACGGAAGGAGAGCCGTGGAAAAAAACAAAAAAAGCCTAGGGTTTGCTCTTGCTTATTGACTTGTGGCTGTTGCCGCCGCCTCTCCTCTCTCTACCTTTTGTCCTGCTAATTTTGGTTGCGTGGTAGGGTTTTTGTCGATGGAAGATTTAGGGTGCGACGGTTGATTTTCGTTCTCGAGTGTGTTGGTGGGAGGATGGGGATCCTAGTTTTTGGTAGGGGGCGAGGTTTTGATGAGACTAAGAAGTCCAATGCTCGGGTGATTAGCTTCTATGACCATCTTAGGCCTAGCCAGCGATGCACGAGTATGAGCCTTTGGAAGCATATTTGGAAATTGAGATTGCTCACCGAAGTTGTCGCTACTTGGCTGATGGTGGCTTGGAGAATTTGCAGTGGCACCCTTTCTAATATGCCTAAGGAGACCGCTCTTGTAGGGCCTCCTGGGAGCCAACCTTAGTGTGCGGTTAGAGTGTTCGTGGGCTTGGCATCCTACGAATGCTCTATTCCCTGAAGCATTATTCTTTACGTTAAGTGGCTGACGTGGGTTTGTTTTGTGTGGTGTTTTATGTTGTCTACCTCTCTAAATGCTTTCCAGTTCTATGTTCTTCAACGGACTATGGTTCTTTCATAGGAGGTTTCTTTTGACAATGTTAGGATGCGACAATGTGTTTTCTGAAGGGTTTTTCTTCATTGTTGTCCTTTTGTTTTTCTCCCACTAAGTTGACCCTTTGCAGCTGTTCTTTGCTCTGCGCTGCCCGAAGAACTATGCTTGGTCATAGAACGTTTTTCTTCCTCAGGCACTAAGTTGAGTTGGTGGGCTTCTCTGGGGTTCCTCTTTGTTGTTGTCTCTGTGTTTTCTTGGCGTGTTCTCTTGTGTCTCTGACTCTTGGTGTGCGATGTTGTTCTTGTGATGTACAAAGGACTATAAGTTCTCATAGAATGCGTCTTTTAATAGTTGGGTTGCATTGCAGTTTTCTCTTATGGGTCTACTGACTCTCCTATTAGTCCATGACATGTGTGGTACTCTTTCTTACACTAGGTTTGTCCCATGTGATTTTCCTAGGAAGGTTTTAACGAGGCCACTGTAATCATGTTGTTGTCCCATGTGATTTTCAATTGGGTTGACTCAATTAAGGTTTGTTAATCTTTCTCGTATTTTTGAGTATTTTCTCCACATATGGTTTGTTTGGGTTTGTGAAATTTTGATTTAATATCTATTGAGATCAATTTATGTGTAGGTTACCAAAGAAAAAAAGCTGTAAAGATTTTTTAGGCCAGTTTGGCATTGCTGTGCTGTGAAAATAATCGATGTCATATTTGCTGTAAGAGAAATCAGCTGTGAGAGAAAGCAGTTTGGCGTTTGGTAAACTTTTTGTTAAAAGTGTTGTTGGTATTGATTCCCACATAATCAGAAAATGTTTGCCGCATAATTATTAAACCCATCACCTCTTCAAAACTGATTTCTGCTTAATTAGAAAATGAAAGCACCTCATTAGCTGATTTCCTTATAACTTTCTCTCACAACAATTTTTAACAATAAATGATTTTCTCATAGTTTACCAAATGGGCTAGGCTTCCCAAATTTGTAAAAAAATCACTTATCACCCGAAATAAGTAATGGCAAACGGGCACTTTATATATAATCCTTTTGGTTACTTTGTAATGTATTAATATTGTGAGTTCTAATATATGTTGTTAAAGGATCCCCTACACATGAAATTCTAACTCCACATGCCCTTTAAACAAACTTTTTCCGCTAAAACAGTTAAAAGGCGACACGTACGTGTCACTCTAAGCCGAAGAGATCATACGTCAGTAAAAAGAAGTAATAACGCCGTCAAAACTCCAATGGGAGTGGTCAATGGGTGTTCAACGACAAAGATTCAAAATGTTGACTCCAGGTGAAACTCATGCACAATTTAATCGGAAAATTCTAATACATTGTAGCAGCAAATCCAGTGGCATAAAATAAAACGCAAAGAAAAGACGTCCTTATCTCGGACGGACCAAATAACATTGCAATTACATGCAACGTAACTTCAGTGCTTGTGAAAGTGCAGGACGGGCAACGTGTTCCAACCGCCTGACTCAAGAATTTCTCTACTAAATTTGGAATCTACAAGAGTCGTGGGGTCAACTTAACCTTTAGTTGTTCAATTTCCTAAAAAAATTGTTACCAACCTTCACCTGAAAGTGTGATAGAAAACACAGAATATATGGTGAGAAAGAATGGTACAAGTAAACTACTCTTATGCTGCAAAAAAAGATGGCAGCATGAGCCTTATGCCACCTCTTTCTGGCTATGCTAAGTTTACAGTACATGGATTCAAAGTCATAGAACAGAAGTACCTGATTATTTTATCTCATTGAGTGATGGATGAAATAATTTAGGAAGATTCACTGAAAAGAAAAATATCCATGGGATGGGAAGTTGCTGAGAAATTGCTTCAACTTGCTTTGGATGCTTGATATTATTGATATTAGACTTTCATATATTTGGGTTTATGTGGAGAGGGAAACTTCCATTTGGTAATGGACATCTACTGTTTATCTGTATGCATGGTGATTGGTGGACAATGCACGTTAATGCATCAAACAACTGAGGTCCACCTTATGCTTACAATATTATTGCAAAAACGAAACTCAAATGCTGTCGTCGATAAAATTTGAACTCTGGACATTCTCCCGAAATGTAAAAGCTGAATGCCACTGAATCAAATGGTCACAGACTCACGGATTTCAAATAGTACAAAATAAAATGAGGATAACTTGTGAAAGCTGCCATGCTGGATGCAGATGCAAAGATGAAAGCTATGCCCTATAATCACGAAACATGTGGTATATATGCCTACCTTCTTTTCGTGGAGCAACCTTCACTTGGATGGGCTGAGCAGTCCTCCCTCCGTTCCTCAAGATATGAGACAATTATTATTTGTTTAAAATCTTTATTTTATTGTTAAAGGATAACTACAACATTGGGTTTTATAATTAATTTGCGCCCAGAGACTCCATATGTCGAGTTTTTGATGAGCTACAGCGGATAAATTTGATAATATTTCATCTAAAAATGAGTAATGCTACACTTACCACATTTTTATCCCACATGTATATACCACATAATGTGGCATGTCCATATCATATGTCACATCAATTAAATGAATGAAGTGTATTTTAATAAATAAAATTTAAAAAACAGAAACTATTATTTTACATAATGTGGTATGTACACATCAGCTACCACATCATGTGGTATGAAATTGTGGTATAAAAATGTGGTAAGACTAGTATTATTCTATAAAAATATACTTAAACTCAAATTACGGGCTAAAAGGAAAACAAAAATAAAAGCAAAAGCCCAAGTAGTAAAAATAAATTGGACAAACTACATAAAACCCCCTAAATTATGGGGTCATTTTCAAGTTTATACCCAATTTTAGAGATATTTACGACCACATGCTCAAATTCCCGAAAACCCTACAATTTGCCCCCAAATTTTTTGAAGTCTGTGGTGCTCAAAATTTGGATTTTGTATATACCCATCTCACTAATTCTCCAGTTGAAGATTAACTAACGGTTTGTGTGACAAAGGGGGCAAATTGTAGGGTTTATGGGAGTTTGAATATATACTTGTAAATGTCTCTAAAATTGGGTATAAACTTGAAAATAACCTCATAATTTAGGGGATTTTATGTAGTTCGTCCAAATAATTTTTAACTAGTTAAAAATAATTTTTGGTGCTGGGATTTGGACCAAGAAACTTGTTGGAATTTAGGAGGTGTGTGATGAATGTTTGTGACGCTCTCATACCACTTGTTAGATTGTAAGTTGATTGTGAGTGGTGTTGCTATGATACCATTGTTGGTTTATGTGTGAAGGGGTTTAGAACAATAGGACAATAGTTGAACAAAGTGATTTTATTATATTTCGAAGGAGAATGATACATAACTTGGTGTAGGCTAATTGGCCTCCTTCCTAAATTATATAGGCTTGGCCCTTTTTCTCTCTTAGCTTTATGAGCTTATTGGCTCCTCAACATAGCTTTGTTTGGGTAGCTTTGGCTCCCTTAGTTTGGGAGTTGGCTTGTTTACTCCCCCACATGCATGACTCAGTTTGGGTCGGGTAGCTCCCACATAGGTTGGAGTTTATTAGTTCACTCCACATCTGGTTTGGGAGTTCTTTTTGTTGACTCCGCTTTGCTAGATTACATTGCATGTCTATTTATAGTTGAATCTTGCCGCATTGCTTTAGTCCCACCGACTTGTTCTCTTTTCTCCAGCCACAACTATGTGGCTTCATCTAGAATATACTTTGCATATTTATTTGTGTACTGTTGCCGACATTCCATCATCTAGGTTGTAGGTTCTTGAGTTTTCTAGAATTGTGTAGTTGCATCTACACAAATATGCATTACTTTTTCAACAAGAAACTCAAAGCCAAGTTTTTTATGAGCTACACCGGATGAACTTGTTAAGGTTTCCTACAAAAATATATTTGAACTCAAATTTGGTGCTAAAAGGAAAACAAAAAAGAAATCAGAAGTCTAGCCTCCACTTCTCTTCCTTTCAATCCTTAGCCGCCTCTCTATCCTAGGGGAGGGGGAGGGAAGGTCACTACCTTTCCTCCCCTCTCCTTCCTTCTCCTTCCTTATCTTCTTTCATCCGCTTCCACGCTCTTCTCTCTTGCCTTCCTTTGTGGGTTTGGTTGTGCTCTCTGCTTTATTTTTTGTTGCCCCAGATCTCCTTAAATTCCTCTCATCTTGTGATGTCCTTTTGTTTTGCGGCTTTATCTTGGTGTTATTTGGATTCTTTTTCCAGATTTGTGGGTTTTGTGTGGATGCAGTTTTTCCCTAAACCTGGGCTTCAACAGTAGTGCTCCTGTTTTCGTGGTGGCAACGACGGCAACTCTACTTTCTGTCATCTCGGTTGGTTTTGCCCTTTTTTTTGGGTTGTAATAATTATATCAAATCTCTTGTGAGTGGGGTGTTTTGTTTGTAGTTGAGTCTCTACTTGTATTTTCACTTGTGAGAGTTTAAAAGTTGCAGTTATATAGGTAGTTTTGGGCGCTGTTGTCCACGTCTGATTTGTTTAAGCTTGTGGCTTTCATGCGGAAATTTGTTTGGCTTTTTGCCACTATTAGTGGAGATATACTTGTTGTGTATTTCTCTATATATGGAATAACCATGCGTGGTTACTGTGCTTACATATTTGTATCAACCCTTTTTGGGTAGTTTATGCCCTTATGGCCGATGGCCTTGGTGCCTAAGTTCTGAATACAATTATCGCTTACTCTCAAAAAAGAAAAGCAAAATTTATTGAAGTTGTGTATTAAAATAGGGAAATCTGAAGATTAACTTACATTATCAACTATATGCTGAATCTACTTACATACAAAAACAATGTTGCAAAAACTTACATTATCAACTGTATGATGTGCAACAAAGTTTTAATTACAATATTTTAGAATAATAAAAAAGCTAATAAATTATCAAATAAAACAATGCAACCGTGCCTGATGCATCCAGCCTGGGGGGATTCCTTCAAGAAACTTCAAATGGAGTTCTTCTTATGTTTTTTCATCTTCAGATAGCTGAAAATGGGTTTCTCTGGTACAGGTATAGACTTGACAACCCAACCAATTGGCCAAGAAACAGCTGCAATTCCAATACATGCACCCCATTGCCCCCAGTTCAACCTCTCTGTATCTGCAAACTTCTTGAGAAATTCCACCATCACCACCTGAAGCAGAATTGTCACTGCAATGATCCCCAGAAACAATTTGTTGGTGTGAATTCCCTTGAACACATTCATCTTCTCAAGCTTCCTTGCATTGAACTCATTGAACACCTGGCACAGCACAAAAGTGTTGAAGATCAAGGTGTCCTTTACCTTGTCATCCACACCAAAGATTGATTTGCCTCTGAATTGCAGGGTCAGGAGGATTGCAATCTGGTACAGTGCTTGAGGCAAGAGGTTCCTCCACATGATGTTGGTGATTAGAGGCTCAGTCCTTCCCACTGGTTTCTTCTCCATGAGTTCTTTTGTGGGCTTCTCAGTGGCAAGAGCAAGAGCACCTAGTGTGTCCATGATCAAATTCACCCACAACAATTGAACTGCTGTTAATGGGACTTCACCTGCTGAAACTGCTGCTACAAAGTTGATCACAAGAGCAGCAACATTGACAGTGAGCTGAAATTGGATGAACTTCTGGATGTTATTGTAAACACATCTTCCCCATTTCAAAACTGTGGCCACTGATGCAAAGTTGTCATCCATGATCACAATATCTGAGCTCTCTTTGGCAACTTCTGTGCCTTGAATTCCCATAGAAAGTCCTATATCAGCTTCTTTCAACGCTGGTGCATCATTCGTGCCGTCACCTGTCACTGCAACCACATGGCCTTTCTGTTTCAAGCATTGCACCATTAGAAGCTTGTCAAATGGAGACGACCTTGCCATTACGCAGATTTTCTCCACCTTCAACATTCTCTCTTCCGGCGTGTAGTTGCGAAATTGCACACCTTCTACCACTGCTCCACTGAACATGTCCTGATTAGGCTTGAGTATCCCACATTCTGTGGCTATGGCTTTTGCAGTGAAAACATTGTCACCTGTGATCATTTTGACATTTACCCCTGCATATTGACAGTCTCCAACTGCTTCCTTCACCCCGGGACGGCATGGATCTTTAAGACCAGCAAGTCCTAATAGAGTCATTCCATCTTCTTTTAGCAAAGCTTTGTGGTCCCGTTCATCCACTTGCTCCTCTGCTGGAATTTCTTTATGTGCAAATGCAATGCATCTGAGGCTGCTAGCTGCCATACCTTGAATAATCTGCTCAAATCTCATTTTTGCATTGTCATCCATATTTATAACAAGTCCAGAGGCATTGTAGTAACTTGTGCACATTGCTAGTATCATCTCAGCAGCTCCTTTCCAATGTGCTTGAATTGTATTGTTGTCAGCCTTCCTCTTCATCAAAACCCCGCTTCGTTTCTTCTGTGAATTGAAGGCCTCAACGTAGAGAATGGTACAACTCTTCACCACTTTCTGCATATCCATCTTCGATCCATGTACCGCCCACGAAAGAATAGCCTTCTCAGTAGGACTGCCTGAGATTTCAATTTCTGAATCGGTACTAGGCCTGTATACGCTACCAGTTGTATTCAGAGCAACCCCTTCTTGGATCAAATTAAGAACATATGGAGATATAGATGAAAAAGCTTCCTCTGCCACAGGTTCTTCACCCAACCAAAACTTAGTCACCTTCATTTCATTCATGGTGAGAGTGCCTGTCTTGTCAGTACAAATGACGGTAGCAGAGCCCATGGTCTCACAAGCAGAGAGCTTCCTCACCATTGCTTTATCAACCATCATTCTCTTCATGGAATAAGCAAGAGTCAGAGTCACAGCTAGAGGCAAGCCTTCTGGGATTGCCACCACAACAATTGTAACTGCAGCAGCTACAATCTCAACGACCCGCGTTTAATATGTCATCAACTTTGGTCTTGCTGCCATTATACTCCTGATTTCCATTCTCATCCTGTGTATTTCCCGTGAAGTATCTAACTAACAAGACAATGAGCACTAGAAAAGCAACAACCAAACCAACTTTACCAATTGATGAAGTTAGCTTGTTGAGGCGAGCTTGTAAAGGCGTCTGTTCATTTGTGTCACGGCTGATTTGGCTCATCATTTCACCCCAAGTTGTGTTCATGCCCACAGAAGTTACAAGCATCCGAGCGTAGCCATCAGCCACTTTGGTGCCAGAGAACAAGAATGGATTTTGGGTTTGATTTATTTCCACATGGTCACTTTCCCCCGTCATGCTTGATTCATCTACTTGTAATGAATGGCCATCAAGAAACAACCCGTCAGCTGGAACTTGATCTCCAATCTTCAAGCAAATGACCTCGCCAACAACAATATCAAATATCGAAATCTGTTGGCGCCTGCCGCCTCTCACAGCTTCAATTTGGACATTGTCACTGACTTTTGATAACTTATCAAACTGCCTGTTCTGCCTGTAATTACTTACAGCCGACACAGAAATCACCAGAATGATTGCGATAAATATGCTTCCACCATCGATCCAGCCTTCGTTAAGGCCATGCACTTTGATCCCGAGACCAAGAGAGAGTGCAGCACAGCCTAAGAGGATGATAATTGTGAGGTCTTTAAAAGCTTCCCACACAAAATGGAAGAACCCTTTTGCTGGTGGCTTCATGTATGTGTTTGAGCCAAATGCTTCAACTCTTTTGGCAATGTCTTGAGGATCACCATAGCCATGGATTCCATGCTCTGCATCAGTTTTGAGAGCTGATGCTATTTCTTCAACCCCTCCCAGCTCCCGGAGCTGGTTGAGTCTTTTCTCCTTGACAAGGTCAGTGAGGGTGGTTTGATCAATTTCGAACTCGTTATCTGGCTCGACAGTAAGAGTGGCATAAGAGGGAGAGCGAGGTATTTTGGTGTTTGTGAATTTGGGTTTGGATAGAGAAGAAATGTTGAAGGCTCTAGAGCAGTAGATGGTTGCAAAAGCAGAAAGCCATTTTCTTTGGTGTTTGCTAAGAGTGCTTTTTCTAACAGCAAAAAGCAACCCAATTTCAATGCACCCCAGTTTCGCATGCAGGGTGGTCGACATGCTGCTGCTCAGCTCAATTGAAAACCGCAAAAGTAAAGAATGTGATGAAAACTAAGGCAGAGAGATGGAAAGACTATTCTGACCAACTGACTCGCAAGGAGTTATGGACACAAGATTGACAATTCTCAAGGAAAACTGAAATGTAGAGAAATTTTTTTGGGTAATTTTAAAGGAATTAAATTGTTTATAGAATGCAATTGTAGTACGAGGATCACCACCTTGCATGAAGAGGCCTACTTATAGTCTTCTTTTGTAAGAGGAAGACAATAAGAGCATGTTTCTCATCGGAAACTTGTACATGAAGTTGTAGAGAAGACCAAAAGAACTTAACGCGCACTAGCAGCAGGCTCCGGGAAACCACCCAGAAAACAAGAAGAAAAAAGGACCGCCGTACTTTATGTCAGCTCTTATTTTGTATTTCACATTGAGAGCTAAATTTTTATTTTTGAAGCTCAGCACCTGAGTTCGGATCCTCCTTTTTCTAGCTTAGATTAGTTTAAAGTAAATTATCGCTTCAAAGTTTTTTTTTTGGAAATAGTTTAATATATGTAGTGTATTATTAATATAAAAAAAACATAGAATATTACGGTCGGTATGAGAAACAAATGAGGTATCTTCGGGCTCAATATGCTTGTCGGTGAAAGCTTCCAATATTAAACGAGTATCAATACCGCACCCAGTGCAATTTGAAAACGCGGGCGACCCACCGTAGCAATATTTATATTAAAAAAATAAAAAAGAATAGTATATTGGGAAATTCTTCTCGTGTAAGCCCCACAACCGAACCAAATCCACGTGATTTCAAATTATTTACTTTGCAAGACAAAATTACATCTCATTGTAGTGGGGTTTATAATGCTTTTTGTTTTTGAGAGGAGGGTTTATAATGCTGTAGTGGTTTTTTGGTTTCAAAAAGAGGCTGAGTTTTGTTAACCGTTAAAGGAAACACATACACGTCACTCTGAGCCAAAGAAATCATACGTCACTAAAAAGAAGTAAGTATGACACCTTCAAAACTCCAATGGGAGTGGTTAAACGGATTTTTTACGGCAAAGATTCAAATTGTGGACTTGACTCAAGTTAAAGTCAAGCACAAATTAATCGGTAAATTCTAATACATTGGAGTAGCAATGCAGTGGCATAAAATAAAACGCAAAGAAAAGAGCTCTTTAACTTTGACGGACGAAATAGGAAAATGTTAGGGAGATCACACTTAAAGACCATTGTTGGATTTTAGGGGAAACAAAGTGATTTTATTATATTGCATTGTCGATATTATTAGCAAACTCTCTTTCATCCCTAATTAAACCCTATAATGCTCAATTTTAAATTAAAAATATAATTAAAGATATATAGAAAATAGAGGGAGAAAGAAGATGTTGATGTCGAGTAGCTAAGAGAGAGAGAAACAAGTTGATGTCGCATAGCCAAAAGAGAAGGAAAGAGAAGATATGGAACCACCTAGATAGACAACTGTGTGTAGAGTTTGCTTTTTATTTTATTTTTATTTTTATTTTTATTTTGGGCTGGGCTTATAACATATGTGGGTATTTTTTATATTTTATATTTTAATTTTGATTGGGCGGGCACCCAACCTGCCTTATGCACATAACCACCCATGTGTGGAACTTATTGTATTGGTGGGCTTCACCTCTATTAGAGAGATGATACATAATATGGTATAAATGTATTCTCCCTAGCATGATCTGGCCAAATAACATAGTAATTATATGCCACTTGTCTTCAATCCGCGTGAGGGGCGACGAACATGCAAAGTGTACCAAGCTCCAGATCCAAGAATTTCTCCATAATTAAGGTTTTGATGATGGTTCAACTAAATTTTAACTCCACAAGAGTCTTGGGGTCAACATAAGTTTTAGTTCAATTTTTCGTACCAAATTAACAACCTTCACCTGAAAGTGTGATAGAAAATACGAAGAATATATGGTGAGAAACTGCAATGGGAGTGGTCAAAGGGTGTTCAACGACAAAGATTCAAAATGTTGACTCCAGGTGAAACTCATGCACAGTTTAATCGGAAAATTCTAATAAATTGTAGCAGCAAATGCAGTGGCATAAAATAAAACGCAAAGAAAAGACGTCCTTATCTCGGACGGACCAAGTAACATTGCAATTACATGAAACGTAACTTCAGTGCTTGTGAAAGTGCAGGACGGGCAACGTGTTCCAACCGCCTGACTCAAGAATTTCTCTACTAAATTTGGAATCTACAAGAATCGTGGGGTCAACTTAACCTTTAGTTGTTCAATTTCCTAAAAAAATTGTTAACAACCTTCACCTGAAAGTGTGATAGAAAACACAGAATATATGGTGAGAAAGAATGGTACAAGTAAACTACTCTTATGCTGCAAAAAAAGATGGCAGCATAAGCCTTATGCCACCTCTCTCTGGCTATGCTAAGTTTACAGTACCTTCTTTTGTGGAGCAACCTTCACTTGGATGGGCTGAGCAGTCCTCCCTCCGTTCCTCAAGATATGATACAATTATTATTTGTTTTAAAATCTTTATTTTATTGTTAAAGGATAACTTCAACATTATGTGTTATAATTAATATGTCGAGTTGCTGAGAAGCTACACTAGATAAATTTGATAATCTATATATATAAAGCAAAAGGCAGAGAATGGTGAAACATTCAAAATACCATAAAATGCCATTGGTTAATTCAAACATTAAGAATTAAAATTATTAATTAAATGAGAATAATATGATAAATTCACATTTTTTTAAATTAAAATTAAAAACAAAATCAGATAATAGCTCCTATTTTTATGAAACATAACTACCAATATTATATTTTTTGAATTCTAAAAATAAAATAAAAAACAAAAAAAAACCAATTGGCATGTGCCAAGGAGCTAGTATTTCATATAAAATATACTTAAACTCAAATTACAAGCTAAAAGGAAAACAAAAATAAAAGCAAAAGCCCAAGTAGTAAAAATAATTTGGACAAACTACATAAAACCCCCTAAATTATGAGGTCATTTTCAAGTTTATACCCAATTTTAGAGATATTTACGACCACATACTCAAATTCCCGAAAACCCTACAATTTGGCCCCACTGTTATACAAACTGTTAGTTAATCTGTTAAATGCTAATCTGGCAAATGTGAGCCCCAATTTTTTATGACGTGGACTCCGTGTGGACAAAATATATAGTAAACAATTCTTTTGTTTTTTAAATAATAAAAAATATAATTATATTAAACAAAATATAATTAAAAAATAAAAATCAATGTTCCTCTCTCTCCTCCCACCCCCCAGCCCGCCCGACTTACCCAGCCAACAAGCGCAACCCAGATCCTCCCCACCCTCTCCCCTTCACCTAACGCATCTCCCACACCCACCCACGACACACCTCCCCCCCCTTCTATGTCTATTCGTTTCTCTCTCCCCCGCCCCCAAATTTTTTAAGTCTGGTTCTCAAAATTTGGATTTTGCATATACCTATCTCGCTATTTCTCCAGTTGAAGAAAAAATCTTGATGTTCTTCTTTGGTCGACCATAAATTCTGGTAGTTCTCCACCTTTTTAATATTTTGGGCTTTGTCATTTAGTTATAGCTTTGTTATGTTCAATCTTATTTGACTTGCGGCACTAGGGACTTGACTTTTATTTCATTGCTTTCAATTGGAGTGAATCAATTTCATGTTCTTGCTGACAATGATGGCCATGAGATTAGGGGAAGATCGGGATGTTAGGGCTTGGATTTGGAGACCATATTTGGGATGATGATGACTGCAGGGTGGTTGTGAATCCGACGCTTGAAGATGGGAAGGAATAAAAACCCAACTCATCCCCAACCCCAAATCGCATATCCCAGAACCGATTGGAGGAGGGTCATGGCGAGTACATGAGTTGGGGATTTGAGGGTTGGGCTGTGTCGGGGAGGAGAGAAGAGGGAAGAGGTGATGGGGGTTGGGCTGGAACAAGAGGGGTTGTATGCCTGGAATGGGTGGCCTGAGTAAGTTATTTGGGGATGTGAGTGGAGGAGCTGGGTGGTGGTTTTGGTGGCTGGGTTCGCTGGGTAGAGAGCTTGGAGGAGAGATTTTTATTTTTATTTTTAATTTATTAAAAAACAAAATAATTGTTCATTTTATATTTTGCCCACATAGAGTCTACGTCATAAAATTTTTAGAAATTTAGTTATATACCCAATCTTAGACATAGTCTTATAAAAAAACTCTATACTATTTAAAAACTATAAACACATCCAAAAATTGATAGCTATCAATTTTTTTTTAAAATTTAATAGCTGTTTTTTTAGTTTATTTGCGTGTGTTAAATACCTATATTGTCCTTGTATTATGGATTTGAAGGATAAAAATGCCAAGAAAAAAGATCTGCGCAGATCTGCCAAAAAATCAAATCAGATTTATTTTCTCCTTTTTTGTTGGTGCTTTCTCTGGTGTTGGAGCAAGAGGAGCTTCCATCGAAGCTCAGTCTTAGGTCCATCTATATTCTTAATCTTTAATCTACAATTTTCAATATTTCACCTTCGATTTCTTGTTCTAAAATCGCGCTTCTATTGATTTTTTTTTATTTCTTTGGATTGTTCAAGACCTCGAACGAACCTTGATCAAATGCTCTTAGCTTTATTCCTCATTTTTGAGCTCTACTCCTCTTCACCAAGTCGTCGTCGTCATTATTGTCATCATTGTCGTCATCGTTGTTTGGTTTGGATTTGAGATTTTTTATTTTTTATTTCAATTTTGTGTTTCTCTTCGGATTTTAGTTGATTTTCGAAATATATTTTAAGATTTGATGATCGATTTATATTTTATTACTATTTCAGTTATAGATCTTATTTTTGTTTAATAATGTATTTCTATGACAGAGTATTAACAATGTACTTTTATTACAAAGTATTAACAACGTACTTCTATAACATAATAGTATTAACAATTTGGGCTAAACTTGTTTTGAGTTGGTCTGGTTTGTTATTTTTTCATCTTTTCTTTGTTGGACATGTATTAGA